TTTTTTTTTTTTTTTTTAAATATATCTTTATTGATTTCAGAGAGAGGAAAGGAAGGACAGAGAGAGAGAGAGAGATAGAAACATCAATGATGAGAGAGTCATTGATCAGGCCCGCAACTGGGCATGTGCCCCGACCAGGAATCGAACCCCGATCACCTGGATCCTAGGTCAATGCTCAACCTCTGAGCCACGCCCGGCCGGGCTGAAAACTAAATTCTTGAACAGACTGCCATTATGAAACCCATTCTAATTGAACAAACTTCTAAATAACCCTAGTGTTACAGTAAAGACACATTACAGGTATTAAAGGCGATTCATGGAAGGCAATTCACAAATTGGGTCTTGAAGGTTGGGAGGATTTTGCTGGGCTGGGAAGAAAGGGGAAAGCACTCAAGGCTGAAGGATTGGTTTATGTGACAGTATCAATGCTTGGTTATTTTAACACATTTATCCATTTACAAATATAATTCCGTACCCATTGTGTTCAAATTTCTGTAAGGCCCCTGTCTATGGCCCAGTCTTTCCGTATGTATATGGAAAAAATAGTATGATATACCCCAGGGATGGTTGTAAAGCATTTCTGGCCACACCTGGCACATAATGTTAATAGTGATGAAGATGCTGATTGGATAAGGGAGAGCAATGGGAGGAAGGTGTTACTTTTAAGGGGGCCTTGATTCATAGACAGCATTTCCTAAGACAGGCTGGAATCACACAACTAAGCTGTGGCGGTCATATAGATGAGCTACAAGGTGGAAGAAAGTACGGTGTATACTTGTGGGATAAGGCAGATAGTTCTTAGAAGGTATTAGTAGACGAATGATTGGTAGTTTTGGCCGCATGCACAGTTTAAGAGTTGGTCTAAGATGTTTTGGTGTTTATTACAGGCAGCGGGAAAATTGCTGGAAGCTTTTGACTAGGAAACGAGGGATAAAAATGGGATTTAGGAGAGATTAATTTGTTGGCCATGTTGACAAAGAGATAAGGTGTGAAAGACATATCGGGGAGAGGCGGTAACCGTATTTTCTTAGGAAACATCAGCCTATCCTGGGTCTGGTCCCAGTATCAGAGAAAGAGCCATGCAGTGCGATCTGTCCTAGAAGTGGAGGTGACTTTGTTTGGAGTCTTGAGGCTAACTAGGACACTTTCAAGTGCTTCATACACAATCCCCACTCCAGTTTTCTGAGGTTACACAATAGAAGTCCAAGTTCTGTGGGGAGATGTGGGTAGTGTGGGCACTATGGCCCTGAAGAGGAGATGCTGACAGAAACAGCAAAAGAATGGCTAGAAATACGTGTAAGTAAAGAGTTGGAAATGGCATGGAAACCGGGGGAATATACAGTTCTGGGTTGAGTGAGGTGGTGATTCAAATCCTCTGCAGATAATTCAGAAGAACTATAAACCAACTAGCATGAGCTATAATTTTAGAAAATGTCTTGGTTTGAAGAATATGAGAAAGTATGTTGTAGTTTGCATGGGGAAAAAAGAGCCAAGGGAATGTTCTTATAGCACCGAGGAGACCCTATAGGCACCAGAGGAAAAGCTCTCCTCTGACCTGGGAGAAAAGGAAGAGAGGATTGGTTAAAACATAGAAATTTGGACAGTTGGTTGGGCAGGTGGATAATTGTATTAGGAAGGTGTTTGCTGTGAGAGGAGTTTGTAGAAATTGTTTAGAACAGTCTGGAACATGTTACACAAGAGAAAAGACTACTGGTCAACAATGGTCCGTGAAGTTAGGTGTTACAAATATGTTAAGTAAAGACTAATTACTATGCTTTCATAGATTTTTCTAGCAACACCCAGAGCCTTGGACTATGAGCAGTAAGAGCAGTTGGGAGGTCAGATTCAAGTTGGTGGTTGGCACAAATACATGGCGATAGCTGGGACATGGATATGTATAATATGACAGTGGGCCCTGGTTGACTATAACAATAATTGAGGCAGGAGGAGGTACTGATAGCCTTAGAAAGCAGAGAGGGCAAACATGACTAGTTAGTTATGTTGAATGTTCACTAGGGACAGAAGGGAAGATCCTAAGAGAAGACTCAGAAGTTGTTATCAGAAGTGGGAGTCGAAACTACTGAGCTTGGCAATGGAGCTGGTCTAGATAATGAAGTTAAGAGGGGGCTGAGCGGGAAGGTAAACCTTAGAAATCAAGAAAGCTGAGCTCAGAGGTTTGGATGTTTTGNGCGGGAAGGTAAACCTTAGAAATCAAGAAAGCTGAGCTCAGAAGTTTGGATGTTTTTTGAGCAAAATCTTGAGACATCCAATATGATGATAAGTTAAAAGACAAAAACCAAGGAGAAGAAATGACTAAGGAATGGGGCAGAGTGTCTTATAAGCAGTGGAGATGGGGATTAGACGACCTCCAACTCTTAGTGTTTCAAAGTTCATCGTTTTTGCCTTCAGCCAAGTTTTTCATGTTGGGGCAGGGTGAAATTCTGCATTGATGACTGAAGTCGTATTGTGGTTTTTCTTGCTTTTCCTGTTTCAGAGGTCTGAAATAAAGAATGCAAAGTAATGAAGAATCTCTACAGATAAAAGCCTAATAGATTGCATTCCCGCAAAGAACCTATAAAAGCAATCAATAAATACACAAATCTAAATATTGGAGTGATTAATCAACACTCCTAGTCACATGATGTTACTACAACTGAAGGTATAGCTGGTAGCAGATTTTGTACAAAGATGTATAAAGAATTTGTGTTTTGAAAATTAGTGCTTCATTTTGGAAGTAGAATATTTTAAGTGTATGTACTAGGAAAGTATAAAGAGGTTCTGTAATTGATTTTAAAGCCATTTAATCATTCTGTTTTTTTCAGTGGTAAATCATGACTTACATTATTGAATTTGACCAAAACCTAAATATGTCAGAACAGTGACTAAACAAAAATAAAAGCTCGTGAAGATGAAAGGACAGTTAACAGTTTAAACAAATTCTCATGTCTCCAATGATTTACCATAATTAATAAGATGAATATATATCATCTGGGTAACCTAACGTCTATTTGCAGAAAAAGAGCCCAAAGAAACATTGACTTTAAACATTTTTATTTTTATTTTTTAGAAATGGAACCTCCTTTTAGCTTTTTACTAACATTGAGTTTAATAAGCATTTCTGATAGCCCAGCTGAGCATGGCTCAGTGGTTGAGCATCAACCTAGGACCAAGGAGATTGCTGTTTGATTTCCGATCAGGGCACATGCCCAGGTTGTGGGCTCGATCCCCAGTCGGGGGCATACAGGAGGCAGCTGATCAATGACTCTCATCATTGATGTTTCTCTCTTTCTCCCTCTCCCTTCCTCTCTCTGAATTCAATAAAGATATATATTTTTAAAAACCACATTTCTGCTAAAGCCAACTAAAAATGCATAGTTTTAATGCAACAAAAAAGTGACTCAGAGAAAGTAATAGGAAATATTTGTTTCACATACTAACACATACTAACATATTAACAGAACCACCTAAGGAAGCATTAAATGCTTACTTGAGGCTTTCTGGAAGAGATCTTGGTCACCTCTTGTTATTTGTATTGAAATACTGAGTTTGACTCTCTTGCCTCTAGGCCTTTGAACTTGACATTTCCTCTCCCTCATTCCTGGAACCAATACTCTTCCCCCCAACCATCCCTTCTCAATATTCTCCCCCTTGTCCCTGTTCTCCAGCCTTAGGGGCTTCTTTTGGACTTAGACCTTTGCATTTGTCATAACCTCTGCCTTGAACATCCTGATCCATAGGCTCCCATTGGCTTCATCTTGCCATTCAGACTTTACCCCGTAGATCACCTCTGGGGGCCTTCATTTTCCATACAGCCTGAATTAATCCCCTGTAGTCCTTATATGTTATGACAGAAATACCTGTTCCTGCAGCATGCATTCTGCTGGGGAGAAATAGACATTAAACAAATTATGTCTGATGGTGGTAAGTGCTAAAAAGAAAAAACTAATCCGGCTGGTAAATCTTGCCATTTACTGAGATGAAGAAGGAAATGAGGAAGAAGTAGTTAAAAATTTGAATCTATTTAGATGCCTACTGGATATCTAAGTAGCCTAGCCTAGGGAGCAGCTGGGTATGAATCCCGAGAGTTCAGGGGTAGCAGATGGGACCAGAGATACAAATTTAGAAGTTGACAACATGTAGAGGGTATTTAAAGCCATGGGGATGTATGAGATCACCCAGCCTGTGAGGGGGCAGACGGAAGAGAGAAGGTGGGAGAACTGAGCCCTGAGGTGCATTGAGTCCTGAGCTTGGTCCGATGAGGTAAAATCAGCAAAGGAGATTTAGATCAGTTGGAGAATCAGGACAAAGCTGTTTAACAGTTTGCTTAAGTCCCATTTATTCACTTGGCTGCAGCAGGGTTGTAGGACGATATTAAATAGAAATGTACAGGATGTGGATTGGACTCGGTGACTGTAGCTGTTCTTCAGGATAGAGGGTCCAGATGATCTGATCCACCCTGTGCCACTCCTCTGCCCCTGCCTGGGGGCCCTTTACTTTCTGGGTACTCTGAGT